AAAAAAAATTTTTGAACATTGATCTCTTAAATTTTCAGTTGTCTATGGCATCGACTGAAGCTCCGTCAAAAGTAAAAGCAGTTATAGAAAATGTTGAACAGATAAGTATTGAATTTCAACAATTGGAGAAAAGTTCTTCAGAGTTCAAAAGCGACATACAAGAAACAATGCAAGAAAATGATAAGAATTTGCAAGAAATGCAGAAAATTATTGATGTTATAAGTTATTTGAATAAATCTCTATCATATTTGAATTTTATTAAACATGTTGAGAACATCAGGTAAATTGTTACTCAATTATTTGTATTTTATAATTATTCTCAATTTTAGAAAATTATGATTTTAGTGATGAAATCCAAGTGTCTTTAACAAATGGTAATGACGAATCAACCATCTCCTTATATGTAGATCTTACAAATATTAGTTGTCAATTAAAACCATCAACTTGTCATTATCTCCAAAATTATGTTAAAGAAACTCTTCATTTTTGGCATAATCTTATAAAGGATAAATTGTCTAAGTATATTTTTCGTTTATATATTTTTATATATAATTGATCCGACATGTACATATACGTGACAATTATACATAATAATATCTTTCAGAGAATATAATGATATACTGAAAACATTAAAATGGCCTTTTTGTGGTAGTAATGCAAATACATTACATACTCCAATGCCAGAGACATTAATAAAATTTAAAATACTTACAGAATATTTGTTACATTTACAGTTACCGTATCCTTAAAAAAATTAAATTTTATATTTTATGAAATATTTATATTTTTTATTAATTTTATATATTGCAATAGATATATTTTATCTTTGATTGAATATATATAGTGAAGAATCTACAAAGTCTGTGGTAACATCAGTGTTATTAACTGACTTTACTCCTGTGAGTTTACCAATTTCACTGCTGATAAGGCCACTTAGGCAAAGATTTATATATCACTTCACAGGTTCTAAGTTAACAAATCGACAAGATAAACCTGAATGGTTTTTCACTCAAATATTAACATGGGTTAAGGATCATGTTCAGTGGGTACAGAAAAATGTACAACCTGCTGCAAATTCAATAGGTTTTGATCATGTAGACATGAAGGTAACATATAATTAAGTATATATTGTTTGTATTGTTACTTTGAATATTATATTATATTCAAATATATTATATTCAATATTATATTTATATTGAAACATATAAATAAAAAATTGTATATATTATTCTGTTGCAATAGATAGAGTTCATGCGAGCTTTAATACAATTAGCAGTTGAAAAACTTCATTCTGAATTATCAATAGTACAGTATGATGATGCGCTATTTGCTCATTTAGTTGATGAAGCTTTAGGTTTTGAACGAGAATTGAGAGAGACCTTATTTTATCCTTCAACTCAACCAGCTACTGTTTTTGTACTTACACAAGCTCACATTTTTGTAAAGTGGATTAACATGGAAAAGAAGTGTAAGCTTACAAAATATTTTTTAATTAAATTAGTTTTAATTCAATTTTAAATGCATTATAATCTAACATGAAATAATTTTTAATAAATTAGTTTTAATAAAGATTTCATTCATATTAAATTATTAGATGCAACCGAAAAAATGGATGCCATTTTGAGTTCAAATACAGCTTGGGAAAAATTACCAAGTTCTGATAATGATGATATGAAAGTAACTGAATGTGCAGATGCTTTTCTAACACTTCTTACTACAATTTCTGATAGGTATAAGCATTTACCTCAACCAGGACACAGGTAAATAAATTATATAAGAAATAAATTTATATCATACAATTATATACATATTAATACATATGTTTAGTTTAAACAGAAATGATTGAATATTTTGAAAAATATAAAAATATAAAAAAGTATTCCACATAAAAGTTATCAAAATAAAATTGTTTATTTGTATTTTTTTATTATATCTGAGATTAGAATATTCTCAAAATATATCTATCCAATATGGACCAGAAAATTAAATTTTACATATACAGTGATCCTAAAATATTAGTGATTTTAATATCAGTTCCGAGAAGATATAATAAAAAAATACAGGTCTATTGTAAAAATTTAATTTTAATCTTTACAGATCTTTTTAAGATTTTCTTAAGATCAAATAAATATTAATTCTATTTAGTCTTATCTCTATTTAAATTAAATGTACATGAACATATAATAATATTTGAATATTATATAATATTTATTTTTATTTTACTAAAAATTGTCACTATATTGTTATTTACTAGAAAGTTATTTACTAATCATTAAAATAGATAAATTATTGAATAATAATTAATTACTTAATGGTATAAAATAGGTTACAATTTCTTGAACTACAATTAGAATTAATTGATGACTGGAGAGTAAGATTGCTTCAGTTATTACATGAAACTTATGAAGATCCTTTAACATCTCTAATGCCACGTATTCTGAATACATTACATTATGTGGCAACTGTTTTAGAAGAGTGGGGTGTAACAGTGGTAAGTATTTTATACATAAAACACATTAAATATTGCAGATATATTATTTAATGCTTAATTTTCAGCACTTTTTGCAATTATATTTTTTTAAACAACAATTTGAGGCAGCTGAAACTGCTACGTTAAAAGGAAATGATATTACTAAAAATGTAGGAGAAGTTGAAGGTTCTGTATTTGATGAAGCTGTTGCTCTCTTAAGAAGATTAGAAAAGAAATTAATAAATGAAATTAGTGATTCTGTAGCTTTAGATGTGAAAGCAAAAAGCAGACCATATAGAACAGACAAGTATGGATGTTTAATACTAAATTTATTTACATATTATTATGTAGGTAATAGTTTAATATTTATGCATGAAATAAAAGAATTGAAAAATTTGTTTAAAATCGTATAAACGTATTTTTTTATTTTTATATAAATATTCTTTGTATACGTATATGGTTTTTTTACATTTCTGCCAATAAAAGTAAATTTATTAACAAATACAGTAAGTTAGTAACGAAAAATTATAATTTATTTCATTAAAAAGAAATAAAAATACTATGATCTAAAATGTAACAATCATTATTTTTAAAAATTTTAAGAAATTAGAATGTATAATTAAATACTTTACAAATTTTTAGAAGTTAGAATGTATAATTAAATACTTCCGATTTTTTAAATTTATATTTAATAAAAATATGATTGAATTTTAATTATTATATGTATCACATTACACATGTTAATAAGGATTGATTGAAAACGAAAGTAAAAATAATAAAAAATAATTAAAACAAGTAATATATTTCTTTAAAGTATAATTTTAAATAAAATTAATCATGTACATGATTTGTATATAAATATACATATATAAATATACATAAATATTAAATATTACATTATCTATAAATATAATATAAAATTGATTTAAACTATATGTTTTGCAGATGGTTTGCAATGCAATCTACTAAAGAAATAGTTTCATTATCTGTGACACCAAGTGGCTATTCTATGTTTCAAGAATTAGCAACACAACTTAATCTATTGCATAATACACTTGCTTTACCATTATTCCAGCAGGCTTGGAAAAATTTAGCTTCACAATTCGATCAAGTCAGATATAAATTAAAAAATTATTTTAAAATAATGAACATCATATTAAATATTTATACAAATATTTCTTTTACAGTTTCTTTTAGAAGAAGTTGTTCTAGTAAATCATTTTAATACGGGTGGAGCTGAACAACTACAATATGACATTTTCAGAAATTTGTTTCCATTATTTGGCTTGTATATTAATAAACCAGAATCATATTTTTCTTTGTAAGTAATAAATAAGGAGAATATACAAAATATTTCAATATGCAAGTTTTTTGTGTAAATTTTTTAATAGTTAATCTGATAAATTATTAATTCATTAAACTGTAGTAAAATTTTAATTCTAAAATGTTTCATGTTTTGATATATTTAATATTTTGTATATCTAATTGTCCAAATTTTTTATTTTAGGATTAAAGAAGCATGTATTTTATTAAATATTATGTTAGGTTCAGCAATGTTACTTGCTGAAGCTCTCCACAATGAAGATGAAATTGCTACAAGCAAAATACTAGCAGATATTGGTATTTATAAAATGTCTTCTGAACTTGCTTTAAAAGTAATTGGAACAAGGACAGATATGACTTATGTATAAGATTTTTTCCTTGTACTATTTTACAAAAAAATAAAATTATTTAATTTTGTATATAATGTACTATATCGTTTTTTGTAATAACGAATGGATATAATTACTTTAAATGAAATTGTAAAACTGTATATTAAATCTATACACACATAATTAAAAATTATATGTATATATAGTATTTAACAAATTAACGTTATTCCCCCATTATCTGCACCTAATAGCAATAATCTATTAAGAGGAAGAACCGCCATTGTGGTAAGGAGACCTTTGAAAGTATCAGATTTTAATTTTGATGATGAAAATGAAGCTGTTGTTTCTATAGATGTAAAAGCTCCTATCCGATTTGCCGTTGTTCCTATAACTAATTCTTGTTCATATGTAGTCATGCAATGAACTGGTTCTGTAGAGCCCCTAAAAGTTCAAAATATGGCTTTTATTTTGTTTTTCAAATACATAGTTCAGATCAAATGATAGTTGTGTCAATTGAGATAAATAATCATTATTTTTTAAATTATAAATAATGTATGAATATAAAGAAACAAAAAATAATATCTTACTTCATATGAAATTTGAGTTTTCCATCTAATGCACTCCATACAGCAATAGTTTCATCTAATGAAGAACTAATCAATGTAGTTTCATTAATTGCCTCTAATTGTAATATCTGAAAAAAGAGCAATTAAGTACTTCTATATTGAATATTTCTATAATTGAATGTTTTAGAAAGACAACATACTTCACATTCATGACCTTTCCAAGATGCAATAATAAGACCAGTACGAATATCTAAAATTGTTAGAAAACCTGATGCTTGACCCAATGCTACCCAATAACCACTAGGTGCTACTGCAATACATCTGATCAAGCCTGTTGGATTTACAGATACCTGATAGAAAAGAAAAGAAAAAAATTATTATTTCATCAAATAGCTTGTAATAACAATAATATCTAATATGATAGTACGTACTTTCATTTCATTTACATATTGAAATGTTCTACAATCAATAACTCTCAACGTAATATCTGTTGTACCCACAAGTAAAGTGGTACATGGAGGAGGGCTTGCAGCTAAAGTATTTACAGGAACTGGACGTGAGCTCTCTGGGCACCCAAGAAGGGAACCCATAAAAGGATCCCAGCAATGAATTGTACCATCACAGGTAACTACGTATCGCAAAGATTCTAGGAATGTAAGTGCAAGAATAGACTTTTTATGTCCAGTATAAGTATACTGGCAAGATGAAACAGTGTTTCCATCCCCCTATTGAAAAAATATGTTACTTAAATTTAAACTCTTTTTATTTATATGATACATTTTTAAATCTAACAATATAAATTTTTTATATTAAAAATATTAATTTTTGTTATAAAATTTATACATAAATTAATATAGTTTTTTTATTTTAATTTCTCTTATCTAAAATTTGTTAGTACCATTTAAAGATATTTTCAACATTTTGTAAATTATCAAAATTTATTGCATTATTTAAAACTGTAATAAATCTTGATTAAGCAGAAGTAGCTAATTTGATTCGTTAAATGAAGCCAATTGTTTCTAAATAATTTCCAAGTCATTTACTGAAATTCCAAACTTATCTTTTCCGAAAACGGATCCACATAAAAGAAGTTGTTTTTATTCCATTTAATTTATTTTTATATATCACTTTCATTCTAGATTTCATGATTTTAGAATTAACTTGTATATATTTGAAATTGATATATCACATTTATAATTTTACCTGACTTCTTAAACTCCATAATTTCACAGTTTTATCTCTTCCGCCACTCATAAAACTATTCTCATTATCTAATACATACAGGCATCTAACGCTATTAGTGTGACCGCTAAAAGTTTGAAGCTTTATTTGTTTTATATTAAATGCTGTATCTTTTTCTGATCTTCCAATTTCATGTTCCCAATATGCTAACCAATTTCCTCGTAACTGTCTCCCACTTGACAAAGAACAGCTTATTTCACGATTAGATATTACATTTTCTTGAGTAACATGATCTCCAACATCATTCTTTTGCATAGCAAATCTATTTCCCACAACTGATATATTTTCAAAATTAACCGTATCATTACTTGTTAATTCTGTATTTTCTGTCATGTTATAATTGTTATATGATGTATTATATTTGTTATCATCTTTAAAAGAATTAAAAAATATATTGAGTTAAAGATCTCAAAAAAATTTTAAAGTACAGAAGAAAAGGGATATAAAAATAAAGAATATAATAGAACATACCAATGTTAGAAGTTATTTTTGCTTCTTGTTCATATTTATGACACAAATTACGTATATGTTCATGATTTTTAAGTATTTGTTCCATTACTTCAGTATCAATACATTTATAGAAGAGCATATATGTTTTATGAGCAAATTCTGTTGTAAATACAGTTTTTAATTCTTCAAGTGCCTAAATATACATCAAAGTCTAATTATTTAATAATAAAAAAATTTACTAATAATGTCTTCAGTTACCTTATTTTTTTGAAAATCAGAGGTATCCATATTTTCTACAACTGGTGGAGAATAAGAATCGGCAATATCCTGATTAAAATTTGTTTGAAGTCCAAGAGTATCTCTATTATCTTCACTTAAAACTTTTATCCTAAATAAATACATGTATCTATATACTATTGTTATATTAAAACATGTGATTCATTAATATTAATATTATACTTATAACAATATTAAAATATTATAATAATATTTAATATATACCTTGTAAAATGCTCACTTATTGTTTTTTGGCTAATTTCATCCTTAACATTTTCTGTAACATCTTGATTAAATGATTTATCAAATGCTAAAAAAAATCGTTGAATAGGTACAGCAAGATGATTTCTTGTAATAACGCTACCCAGTCGTAAACTGAACATAAACAAAGTTTCTAAACATTTTTCTGCCATTATTGAACGTGCAATTGTACCATTAGGAAAAGTAAATCTTGTAGATGATAATATACGAACTGTAGGATACAATATTGCTTTTACGATTGGTTCCTAGAATAGAAAATGAATCCTGTTCAATATAGTGACCAATATTAAAAAAAAAAAACTTATAAAATATAATCATACATGAAGTACATCCATCAAAACTGCATCACTAAGATATGGTGTAATATAATTTAAAAGGGTCAAACATGAAATAAGCCCTCCTTCCAAATTTTGTGTTAATTTTCTTTTACAAAGCGCTAGAAGTTCTACCATATGTGCAAAATACTGCAATACTATAATTTGTTCTCCATACAGGCCTATATAAATATTTAAATTAGTTACATTTTTAAAAAACTTTAATTAATAATTGCATTCTTCTTTTATACAAATAAAATAACCTGCAATAGCTGCGAGGCATTCCAAAACTTTGTTAGCATTACGATCACCAAGTAAAACTTTTTTGTTCCAAGGAATACCTTCAATAGATAAAAAGGTATCATTGGTTATTGTTAAGTTTTCTTTTCCAGTATAACATAATGTAAGCATTCTCAACAAGTTTCGAGATAAATATCGAGCAGTAAGTACAGGACCAAGTCGATGAGATAACCAGATAATAGATTCAGTACTCATTTCAGAAGTTGTACACTCATTTGATGTAGATTTTTGATAAATATGATCTAATTGAATACTTTCATATTCTGCAGTGCTAGATTTAGTATCATCTGTTTGTAATGTTACAGAATTTTGTTCTTCAGTTCCTATAGTAAACATTTCCTCAGACGTATTAGTAGAATGGCTAAATCCACCATAAGTAAATTCATCATTGGAAGTTCTACTTCCAACATGACAACCAATATTGCTAAACTCCGTTAAAGATTTACTAGAAGAATTGGATGTTTTTGGTATAGGAATTGTTGGCGACTTAACGGATTTCAATGGTGATATTTTACTACCATCTTCATTTAAATCATCAGTCAAATTCAAACTCAGATCAACATTTAAATCAATATCATATGTCGTAGCAGAATTTAAAGATATCCAAGAATTTTCTTCTGCTTCCATTGTGAACACTTCTGTAATAGGAAAAGTGATTAAAAATTTTCTCAATTTAATAAATCATAAATAAATTTGTATTTAATCACTTACCTTCGGTATCATTGTCAGTTGAATTTATATCACGTGTATAATCACTAGTTACGGGCCCAGGTGATAAAACAATATTATGATCTGAATCTACAGAAAAATCCTCATCTAAAGGAGACAAGATTCCTTCTCCTTCGTTACACATTCCACTTAAATCACAACTCCTGTGAAAAGAAATAAATTTATTTTAAAAAATATTCATAATAACTAATAAATATTATATTAGTTTATGTCAGTTATTTCTGAAAATAAATTTAAAAAAAATAGAATTAAAAAATTAAATTAAAATGAAAATATTTTGCAAAAGTAATACTTAAAAAAAATTATTTAATTTTTATTAAAGTTATTTTACTGTAATATAATTGTACTTTTCTTACTTAAGATTGCCAGTTTTATGAGTGTATGTTGAAGATCCTTGCATATAATCTCTATATCCTCCAACTGCTTCTACAAGAGGTGCAATAAAATTTTCCAAAAATCGTCGTAAACCCAATCTTACCATAAGTTTAAGCAAGAAATTTCTATGATATAAACGTGTAGTTTTAAATTTTGCTATTAATGCTGAAGCAAGAATATCAGCATGAGGAAAGTTATCCATAAAGGAACCATTTTCATATAACTTCATAATTGATAGAAGGAATGTTTGTGCAGTATCTCGAGGACCTAATGCCCTGGAAAAATATCATTTATGTGATGCTTAAAAAATATGCTCCTTTTATATTAAAATATTCTCAAACGTGTAAGAAAAATTTTATAATTTACAAATAACTTACTTAGCAATAGGATCAAATAAATGCCAAGCAGCTAAAACAGCACTATAAGGTTCTTCCATTATTTGTTGTATATGAGGCATTATTAATTCTAAATATGCTTCCCTTGCAATTCCAGTATGGTATAATAAATGCTCTAATTCCCTTGCAATTGCTTTAACTTTACATTCACTGATTTTACAAAGGAATATTATTTTTGTCTTAAATGTAAAATCTATATCTTCTTCAGACTTCATTATAAAATTTAATTCGCGAACTAAACTATTATACTCTTGTAACATTTCTACAATATTAAATAAGTATTTATAATACTTGGAAAATGGAAACAAACTTCCAGAAAGTATTGGCTGTAAAAATTGGTGTGCCGATGGAGGTGGTAGACCCATGTGTGTAATAGTTGGGTAACGAAAACGCATATCAGTTACCTAAAAGATCACGTAGTATTATATAATTTTAATATTATAATATTAATATATTTAATGTAATCAAAATATTATAAATATATACATATATAATTTAATCAAATATACAATAAACTAATACAATATAGAAAGACATTAATAAATTAGGAACAACCTGTTTATTGTAATAATTATTTATATTAGTACTTACTTCTATATTATCAATATTGTAACTGTTTGGTATAATATCAACTTGAAGCAATAAAGCAACAGCATTTCTTACACATTTAGGTAAACTATCAGCTGACGTCTTCAAGATATTTAGGCATGTAGCAAGTCTTTTTGCAAATGTTACTTTTTCGACATTCCATGTTGCTCGAAATTTATTAGATAAAAATATTTCCACAATTAAACAACCGAGTATTTGTTGTTCCTTAATACGTCCACTAGCCACAATTTGTTTATAGTTTGTGAATGATTCGTGTAATTCAAATTGTGGTTTATAAACTTGAGAGCTTACTTTATTCACAAATGCATGCATAGTTTCTACATGCATGATAGCTGCAACAGGATTATAATCTTTCGGAAGAATTATCGTTTGGCTTGTAGATTTATCTTGTTTAGCATTGTCTTCAGTAGCAAGTAAAGAACCTCGAGAACGACTTAACAATCGACTTAAAACCAGAGGAGATGATCTTGATGTATTTATAATTGATGCTGGTAATTCTTCTTCTTCAAATCCAGAACTGTGACCTTCATCATCACTTGTTCTATTACCAGACTGATCGTTTCCTATAATAAATTATTTGATTAGTTAAAAAAAAAAAAGTTTTAAAAAAATTGAAAATTTTATGTTAAACATACTATACTTATTGATTAAGAAAGATAACCGTAGTCGAGGTGGAATTTTACACCAATAAGGTGAAGGTATAATTTTTTGAGGATGTGGTTGTATAAATAATTGGACAATACCAGAATTGGTTAAACTAGTGTGATTGTCAACAAGTTGTAAACAAACGTTTTTAGATTTTATTGCTGCTGAACCAGATAGTCTGCAATGTAAAAAAAGAAAAATAATAATATTAACATAATTTATAATGTTAGAATAAGCTATAATTACTTGTAACCAAAAGTTAAATCTATCCAATGATGTAATCTTTCAGAAACATGAAAACTTTCTAAAGCCTCTCTATGTCTTTCAATAAAATCTTCTGGAGATGTAGCCCATCCAGGAATTTCTAAATCTGGTAAATCTTCATGAATGGACTGTAATTTTTAAATTACAATCACATTAAATTTATTACAATAAATATTCCATAAATCATCGAATTTATTAGTTTTATCTTGCCTTAAAAACTTTGGGATCAGAAAAAAATTGTGGTATACATTCATCTGGACTCCAATCATGTAATCTCTGTATTGAGGCAGGATACTCTCCTGGTACCCATTGCGGTCGTACATATTTACAGAGGACAGATTTATTATAGCGACGAGAAAGATAAACGTAATATGTAATTTCTGATAATACATCTGACACGTGATGTCCCACCTTAAAAAGACATTACAAAACATTACAAAAATTATAATCGATTAAATAATTATTATACAAAATAACTTAATTTGCAAATATTATTAAATACATACTTCACTTGACTGTGAATCAAAAGTTAAATCTAATTGTCTGTCGCCTTTGTTTAATCGAAATTTGGATTTTGTTAAATCTCTCCAATTACCACCACATCTTGATGTAAAATCTGTGACCCAAGGCATAACATGATGACAACTTGGATCACCATATCTCCTACCAGCCAAATTATTCAATGCAGTTAAATAATCATAATTACTAATACAATTATACACCCACATTTCACATAATTTTTCAATATTTTCATTCATTCCAAATTTGGAATTTTCTTGTAATGTAGAATTTGATGGAATTGTATCGAAATTTTTTCTACATCCATTAAAATTTTTTGTCTTAATTTCTTGACTAGAAACTTTGGAATGTTCATTTTCAGGTTTTATATATATATTGTCACTTACTTTTGGTAACACCTAATAATAAAGTCTGGGAAAGTAGTTATAATTTCAATAGAAAATTGAATTAATAAAAAATATTTATAAAAAATTTGGATATTAACCTGTATAGTAAAATTATCCATAAGTAATATATCACTAAGAGTAATTTCACCTAATACTAAACCCCGGTCATGTAAGTCTCTAGATAATTGTAATAATTGATATATTAAAAACAATGGTTTTCCATGACTCATATTTAATGCAGCAGGACTGTACATTACACACCTTTAAAAGTAATAATTAACATATAAATAATTAAAAAATTAATAAAAAATGCATTAATAAAAAATTGAAATATATAATATATGCTTACTCGCGAAGAGAATATTCTGCAGTTTGCTCATGTAATGTAAAAAAAGCAGATGTAGTTTCAATAGCAAATAATATTGGAAGGAGATTACAATGTACTTCAGTTGATATACCAGGCAATACAGATACTACTGATCCATTTTGTATTTGTACTAAAGTACAACCATACATTTTCTGTAATACTTCTTGCATAATCCATGTATCACTTACATTAGCAGTTATATTGTATTGTTCTTTATGTTCTATGCAATTCCATGGACCTATATGTATAAACAAATTAACATATGTATATACACATGAAACCAAAGAGACATAAATCAATTAATTTTTCTAATAAATAATTAAAGACATACTATAATATTTTTTGTAACATTCTTTCCATAAATTTCGATAATTAGTTTCTGCAACATAGTGCATTAATTGTGAATATGTCAGATCTGCATGAGTATTTCCATTTATATTCCTTCCTCTTGGCAATGGAACAGCATATTTATGTTGTTTTTCATAAACCTATAAATTATAATAATCATTACTTATATTTTTAATAACATTAAAAGCTATTTTTTATCATAGGTAATAATATTATATTATAATTAACATATATTATTGTATTTATAAATAACAGATAATTTTTCAAAAAATTACATAAATATTCTATCATAGTAGAAAAAAATGTTTAAAATAAATTAAATAGATATTAAAGAAATTAAAGATAAAGATACTGAGTAATTTAATGTTTTTTCAATTTTTATTTCAGTTGATACTTAATAATAATTTTGTTCTTACTAGTATATTCTTATTGCATGTAATAATCTCATGTACTTTATTTTTTTGTGATAAATAATTCCTTTTATCAGAATTATCTTGCACTAAAAATAATTAGAATAATACAAACTTGAATTGATTAATTTTGAAATTGATTTTCAAAAACATATTTAAAAACTGTTAATTAAAATTTAAAATACATTTCATTTTGATAATTGTACCCTACGCAAAAAATATAATATTTAATTTGATAAATTAAGATGTCTTTCATACACACATAATATTTCTTTAATGCTTTTTACAAAATAAGTATATAAATAGTATATAAAGTATATAGAGTGATAACATAAGTTTTTACGAAAAATATTCAAAAGATTATAATGTTAAATATTATTACCTATGTTAATAATATTACATATAATTATACTAAAATATATATTTATATATATTTGAATTAATAAAAAGTAGCATACTTTGACATATATTCTTATCCAATCTGGACCCAAATCTTCGAGTGTAGGATGAGCTGCAATTTCATCTTCACTTAATCGTTCATGGTAAATAAAAGAAACTGGTCTTATATTAACTAAATTGGTTAACCAGTTTCTGTTGATAGTTAAACAAATTCTACCATCTATTACTTTTATATACTTTGTAGGTACAAGCAACTCTTTTGTCACTACATCCATTTTTTATCCTTATGGTTTATATCTATAAAAATAAATTTTCATAAAATAATATAACATAATGGTGTTTAATCATTAAATTCATACCTTATTTGTACTGTAGTGCAGCGGGAAGTCAATACAGCAAACATCTGCTACATATGTTGTTATTATCTTAGTTGTTTAACGCCAAACACAGCTGATTTGTATCAAATGAACAGCTGATACTAGACGCCATATTTAGATGTAATTTTATAATACATAATGACTAAAATATATTGAAAGACAGTCTTTCACACATGATTCTTCATTTATTGAAATATTTCTTAAATTTTTTAGCACTCTTGTTATTTCTTGCATTCTTTTACAGCATAACCTATAATTTTGCGAAAAACAATGTTTATAATATTTATAATTTCAATATGTGTACAGTCAATGGTAAATATTGCCTGTTTTTTATAACAATAAAAATAGAGAGAAGAAAGTTGAATAGAGTAAATTAGACAAATTTATTCTAAAATATTTATTTTTACCTTTCTCTAGTAAGTTTTTTAGGATTTAAAACGAAAATTCACTTAATTTCTTGTTATAAATATTAAATTAATGTTTAAAAAGGATAAAAATGAAGAAGATATTCCATAATATCTATGAAAAAATATCATATAATTATTTTTATTTCATTTTTAATTTTCAGTAATAAATAATTAGTAAACGTTTAAAATGACAATTAACATTATCAAACATAACTATTTAAAGAAATTTATATTTAAATATATTCAAATTTTTGTTGCAATTTATATTTGATAAGTATTTATATTTGTTTGGCATTTATATATCTCATAGTGTAATTAATTTTAAATCTTTTGAATAGAGCAAAATGATTGTATTGAAAATATTTTTAAATTTGAAACATTTTATTATTTATCTTATTTATTATTTAATATTTTATTATGAAATAAAATACTGATTATTAAAATATTGAAATAAACATAATTTTAAATACAAATTAAAGATATAAATGATCATATTCATTTGAAATATTTCATGAATTGATATTTGAATAATTTATATTTGTATCATATACAAAGACAAAGGAAGGTTTAGAAAGATTTTTCAATTCAAGTAAAAAAGAAATATTTATTTTATTAAAAATTAAGTGACAATTTTTATTACATATTTTTTTTGTGAAATTTCATTTTTTTATGAACCTTTTGTAGAAAAATATTTATAAAAGAGTCATATATTTATTGTCAATTAAACTATACAATATTAATACAGGTTTTTGTTTTTCGTTCCTTAATTCTTGCATTTCTTCACATATCTCTTTTATATACTTCTTATATCTTGAATGTCTAAAAAAAAAAGGAATAAAAATTTTCGTCAAATAGATTTTATAAATGAGTCTTGGGTAAGTACTAATAATATTATAAATTTGTGTTAAGAGAAGCAATTCAAAAAATCTTATCTCTTACATATGTTATCTTTTTCTATCTCTATACAGAAACAATATTTAAATTACAGATACAAATTTTTTTACTACAAAATTTTTCAATATTAAAATTCCATATTTTTTTAAATTTCATTTCTGATATCATTTTATAAATAACTAAATTGATAAATAACTAAGTTGATAAATAATTTTATAAATAACTAAATTGATAAATAATAACTTACTTGTCTATGATAAATTGTATACTCTTTAGAAAATCTTCATCTCCTTCGTCAATTTCCAAAAAACTTATTATCGTTTTTATTACATTCATTTGTAAAAATACTGCCAATATTTCAATCGGAATTTTAGATGAAATCCTCTGGAAATATGTAGACATCTGTGCAATTATAGAATTTTTCAAACTTCTTCTAGAGCCACTAGAAAGTTTATCTCTTTCAGATAAAATAAAATTAATATTAACATTAACTGGATTGTTGGTACTCAAAAAATTTTCAGTTGCTATTTTGCTCTCGGATTTACTTAAACCAGACAAAGAGCTATCTAATCTTTGGAAAAATTCTGCTACTTCTTGATTATTCATTTTTTTTTCTTGAAATCTATCACGTTCCCAACTTTGAATTATTACACTCCCTTTTTCTTCGCTTTTTAAAAGAATAACATGATTGATAAAGTTTTCTCGACAATATTCAAGGATTTCTTCGAGGGAAACTAGATCTATAATTGTAACTTTGAGTTCAAGAAACCATAATTCTTTTAAAAGATCAATCATCTCTTTTCCTCGATGATAATTTCCCATACAAGACATGGCAATGTCGATTCCATTTTTACATTCTAAAGATCCTGAAGTTTCGGAAACTGCAGAAACAAGTTTCTCTAATGAAATACTAATTCCGGTACCATAATGCTTAATTTCTTTATTGGCCATTCCTGTACGTTCGAGAATATTTTTAAAAGAACAGAGCATTTTATCGTAACGACCTCCTGCAGCTATTACTTCTCCACCTTTTTTTTTAGGTGTAATCTCATGAGTAATTTGATAAATTATACCACTATGTTGATTAATATTGTGTACTAGAAGAGGTACTACCAATATTGGCCACTGTTGAGAAAATTTAAGTTTTATTATACCTTATAGTATAATATAGTATATTAATATAATGTAATATATTAAATAATGAGTAATATAGTATATTAATATAATGTAACATATTTATTTTTATAATAAAAACTATAGAATGACATATATGATAAAAAAATTTCTTTAATCAGAAATAGTTATTTCAGTTATTCAGTTGAAATATAATTAATATATCATTTTACCTTTACACCAAGTGCTTCAATATTCTTCATAACTAGATCAATTTCTTCTAATCCTTTTTTAGCTAAAGCAGCAGCATTTCCTTTTCTTCGTGTAATTGTTTTTAAAATACTATGAATTTTAGCAACAGAACTTTCAGTTTCAAACAAATTAAATAACGTCTCCATAGCTTGATCAGTTAAACATAAACTTATTAAATGCGTCTGTATTTGAAATTTCGTAAGTTTTTTATCACGTGCATCTCGAAGAATTGAATAAATATCTTGATATTTTTCTTTATCAATTCCACAATACATTAATACAGCTTGTAATAAAGAAGTGTGATTTAGACGGATAATAAAATTTCGTTCTTGTAATGAAGGTAATTCGTTGATAATTTCCCAAACAATATATACTGATTCAGCTTCCATTAAAAGATTACCAGGAGTAGGACTTATTATATCAAACGCACACTCATAAAGTTCTCTGGGATGAAAACCTAATGCCTATAATATACATATAATATGAAATATACAATATCCCAAGAAACTTATTAAATTATATCTTAAGTATTAATTTATTAATATAACAATAAATAATATATTATTAATATTAAAATATATGGTATTAATTTTTAACATTACATAATTCAATTATTTGTTGATTTTTAAAAATATTAAATTGTTTTACATCTCATAGAGAATAATTTTCCAATCAATTTAATAAAATAGTCATACCTTTTTTTCTCTGAAGACTTTTTCAATAGCATATCTTCTAATGTGCGACACATTGTTCCATACAATATATCTTGCAAATGTAGCGCGTAAATCATGAGGTATACAAACAATGTTCCCATTACGAGTCATTAATTTTACAGCAGAAGATGAGAAACTACAGAATTGATCTGACTTTGGTACGAAAAGAGGAGTGCCTAAATAAACACCTCCATGTCTTTGAAAAACTTCAATTACTTTGCCTTTTACTCCTTCTTCATGCCTTTTCCAAGTAATAGAATTAATATGTTTTTTAATAGGAAAATTCATATCGAAAGTAATATCTTCTGCAGGACTAAGTTCTTGCATAAAACAGCATGAAATCAAATATTTATATGCTTTGCTTTGATTATAGGAAAGCGTGTGTCGAATCATTTCTTGTAATTCCGTCTCTTCGAGTTGTGCAGGAGGCAAATATTCCGAAGAAAGAAGTTCTTGAGCAGTGGGCCGTTGGCTAGGATCATGATTTAATAACCATCTGTAATTAATTTAATAGTACGATTAATTTATTTACGAAACGATAATATTCATATTATTGAAATAAATATATTTATTTTTGAAATATTTAAAATATATTAGAAATAAATAATATATATAAAATATAATAAATATAATATTTTGTAATATTTAAAATATTAAAATATTTATTGCTAATAATTAAAATAAATTAATTGCTAATAAAAGAAATATGATCATTGATTATAGATCAATTAAGATGAGTGAAGAAATTGAATCACTGAATAATTTATTATGTTTATTAATTAGTTTGTTGATTTAAATATAAACAATATAAATTAGACATAATAAATTAAATAAAAAAATATAAAAAAAATTTTAGTAATGAAACAAAGAAATTGAAATAAAATAAAAAATCATAACTACTTTTTTAAAAGTTAATTAAGCTGTAATTATAGTTTTGCTACACATAATAAGTAAAAATAGTACGTAAATAAAGAGAGAATTAAGTTTTCACATATTTTAGATTAATTTATATTTACTACATACCGTAAGATATGAACTAGTTGTGGCATATCAGCTTGTAATTCTTCTGGAAGTATAATTTCTTTCATTCGTAAATTCGCTAAAATTTTAATTCGTTCCATTCCTGTAGTTGGAGGTTTGTAACACATTTCAAACAATATTATTCCAAGGCTGTAAATATCGACCTTTTGATTGTAAATAGCTTTCGCTGCTTTTGTTGTAAGTTCTGGAGCTACATAAAGTGCCGTGCCTACTTGTCCTGTTAGAGACTCAACATCTTCAGTGGCGAAAGAACCAGTGCCTGAAACATATCACATAATATATTAATAGATGAATATATTTATAAAATAATAATACATACAATGAAGAGCATAACTGTATTACTAATAGTAAAAAAATTAGTTATTACTAATAGTAAAAAATTGTCAATACTTTAACTTCGTAAAAAAAAAAAGTTATATGATAATTTACTTGATTTCATTTAACATAAAGCTTCATTTTGACTTCACTTTTTATTTAGAACAATGAAAAAACTTTTATTCTCGCAAAGAAATTCCATTGTTTCTAGAAACATCAAAAAAATTTTTTTTCACATTTTGTTCATATTTTTTATTATAATATTGAACATTGAACATTCTTTTTGAAACGTGTTATAAATGGCTTCGCCATTTTCTTGAACATTTTTTACAATTTCAAATATAAATAATTTTTTTATTGTTAGTGTTACAATGGTAGAACTTTTTACTTTCATATACATATCACAATTCTTACATACAATACAGAGTGATCCACGTAACTTGTTCACCTAGAATAACTTCTAAGATATGCATTGTAAGAGAAAATTTCTTTTTAGAAAAGTTTTTTAGAAAACTTACATACGAGTCATGAAATGTTTCTTGAAAAATTTGCAATTGTTTTAGTTAAAGATTTTAGTAGATTTGTTTGTACGTGAGGTATATCTGCAGAGGGAGACAATTATTTGTGAGAAAATAAAAGAAAATTACAACGAAACACTATATTGAAATTGTTAAAAAATGTATATTTTTCCTTTCTACTAATGACAGTTGTATTGTAGATCTGATATATATTCTTCATGTGATATATTTTGGACCAAGAAATGTATAATCCTTTTCGAAATATACAAGCTTGAGATTAAAGATTTAATTAGTTATTTATTACATTTTATAAATCAATTATTATAGGATAAAAATCTTTTAATTTTACACAACACTTACCTTTTTCAAAACCCTGAGATTCTTTATCGATTTCTACGGTTTGTGCCAAGGATGAAAGTATATTTGTAGTTGCTAGGCCAAAATCACCAATTTTTACATGGTCGTTACTATCCAAAAATATATTTACTGGTTTCAAATCTCTATGTATCATTCCTTGTTTATGAATATGCTCTAAACCTTCCACAATTTCTCGAAATAGTCTCCATACTCTTTCTTGATCTTCGTGAAGTCCGCGATCAATTGCCGTCCGCAAAGTACTCTTTTCACAGAATTCCATTTGAATATACATAAACTGAATTTCTCGGACCGTTTCTTTCGATTCAATCGTCTTTTCACTTTCATCAGTTTTTGTATTTGATGTAGATGCCTGGTTTGGATCTCTTTCAAACTCTATACTATCGGAAAAATCCATTTGCAACAAATTGTGCATTCTGAAAAATTTGTTATATAAATTTTAATATATATTGTGAATACTTTAAGATGCTTAATTTTTATTTATAAAAATTATCAATATCTTATTTTATGCTGTTAAAGTATACGCTCCAATACATAATTTTTTAATTTTTTAATTCTAATAAATTAATTGTACAATTTTTTAATTTAAAAGAAA